TGAAAATAGAATTTCCCTATACATTAACAATTAATGACTATTACAATCGTATTCAAATCATCGAAACGGGAGGTTCTTAAACGCATAATTATTTTGTGTCTTATCTGTAATAATTTCAAATATCAGGCCTCTTCCTGTAATTATTTTCATTTTGGCCCTTATTTTCGTTTTTAGGCCCTTATTTGTAAATTCTCTAATGTTTGAATTCAATATTATAATAAACTAGTCAACTTAAATACAATAGTTACCCTTACGGGTTTACTACACTTCACTATCAGAATACCATGCATCAAGAAAAGCATTCTGCACGATTCACAAATTCGGGTGCATATAATCGTTATGATCACATTTAATTTTCACACCCACTTCACGCCCATGATCTTCATAGTAAATTTTCTAAATAAGGTAAAACTGAGGTTTATAGATTGCTTGCACCGTACGTACGTACGTACATACTGTATATAACTTTTACATTACAGCATTAATTAATGCAGTGGCACATGATTATTGATCTGCATTACAAAAATTTTGCCAGCATTATTAGACTATGTGTGCCAGCTCTATAAAAGTTATAAACAACGTTATTTACATAACAAAAATTACATATCAGAAATTTACATGCAAATTTCCACCCTATATACTAATATATCCCTATATATAAAAGACATATGCATTATATTTGATATTTTTTACAATAATTTTAACATTATAAATGTTGGCACGTTCAATATTACTAAATTTCCGTTTAATACTTGCCCAAGTTTAGTGCTGTTGTGTGTTTAGTCTGTGCAAAAACACATATATTTCAAATTACAATTTAATCTATATGTATATAATGTAACATAAATTGTAATTTATTGTTATGTATCGATCATGTCGAAATCACTTACTTAACTGGATTGGCTGAAAAATTAGTTGGTGATTTTTAGATTTTTATCAGGTGTTTAAGAATTTATGAAAACAGCTGTAAACTTTTGATTTGATGTAATTACATCTGAATCAAAAGTTTATAACTGCTGAATCAAAACTTATCGAATTGGCAAATATTTGATCAGATAATTTTTATCAAATTTTTCAGAATTTATGAAAACAGCTGTAAGTTTATAGCTGTTCTTATCTCTTAATCTGTAGGCTTTTCCTGACAAATTTGCCTGAAAAATTTTTATAAATATATTTATGATTTATATTTTTTACATTTTAAAATATTTAAATCAATTTTTTTTTAATAATATTTGAAAATGAGAATTATATTATAGTAGTATTTAATTTTATTTTATAAGAAAAAAAATTTAAATTGCTTATAAGATAAAAATAGACCAATTTAAAAAAAAATTTTTAATCAAAAAAGTATCTAATTATTCTTGGTGAACTCTTTAAATATTAATTTTAAAGCTATAGTTCTTAATACAAAATGATAGCTTATATAAAAGATAACAATTGTCATTATTACAACTTTTGCAACTTAATTATAAAAATTTAGATTTGTATTAAGAGCAAAAATTTTTTTATCTTCATGAATATATAAAATCTTAAAAAATCTTGAAAATTTTTTTTTCTCTCGCAATATCATAAACAGGTAAATTTTTATTAGGTATTTAAATAGTATATTTACTACCACCTACAATTACGCTAGTCTATAATCTTGTGCTACTACATTTAAAGACCACCCAAATCGACATGTGCTACACTACTTGTGCTCTAATTCTATAGATAACCCAGTAGGGTTCTTATATTTACCAGGTTACTCTAGGAAGGGTGTAGTATATACCCTCCTAATCTTTTTATGTTACATACATTTTCTGACTAAGCCTTTTCAGTAACTACGTTAAATCTGAGAACAAGTACTTGTAAGCTGAAGCCGCTACAATTACCTACTACTACTCTTGTAGAGTTTACCCAAATCCCAGTACCTACTTTATGGACTTCCTCCTATACTTTTGAAAACCCAAACTTCCAATCCTACAGCCCGGAAGGGTGGAACCCTTCTTCCGTTTTTTCCTGTCAGCCTGGTTGGTATAGTCTTTTTGTTAAACACCTCAGTCCTGTCTGGTTTTCTGGTATCTGGTTGATTATCCTTTACATAGTAATCGTTAAAGATCTGTGCTATCTCTCCACTTGGGTCTTGCCAAGCAGGCTTCTGTATCCTGTAAATTTGTTAGATTTATCTGGTAGTTTCACTCAGATTTTGTGTAATTCGTACATCACACTACATGTTCCACTACCTTCCAGTACAAGCTGGTACAACCACCATTACAGGTTCTACAACCCAATAGAATATAGTTTTCCAAATACATTTTCTATAATTTGAATTTTCGTCACGGTGGAATTCGAACTCTAGTCCTGCTGCTTGAGGGTGTGACAACTTGCTAACTTCATTAAGTCGCCACATCCTAAAAAAAATTTTTAATAATAAAAATTTTTAAACAAAAACTTTAAAATTTTATTACTCCAAAGTTTATTAATAATTTTAATAAATTTTTATAATAAAGTTTATAAAATATATTTTTAAAAATATATTCTATAATAAATATATACCCCATATTATTAATAAGAATACATTTATATATCGTATAGTATAATGCATGTTATACATCACTTTATATATTATATAAAAAACTTACTAAAAATATAATAACAATATAAACTTTTATATTAATTAGCTTTTGATCTTTAAGCAAAAATAACTCAATATTATATTGTGACTATAAACATACATATAAGATTCTAACATTTACTATTTTTAATAAGACATTTTGGAGCATAATGATTAGTTTTATGACATACACCATATTTACGACCACCAGAATTATCATTATCGATTATATCATTATTACTTTGGTTTTGGCTATCTACTTTATTTTTTTATTATAACTCTTTATTCGCTTGTTTGGGGGTCTGCTTTTACCTCAATATTTTATTAGATCTTTTACATTATCCGCATTATATATATGACTATTAGACAATCTAATCTCGTAGTTTAAACCAGTATTTTTTTTTTAGAACCTTTTGATTCAGTTGCATATCTGTTTTTCGATTTGCTTCTTTTTCTGAAATATAAGACAATATAATATCATCTAATGCTTTTTGATCATTATCTTCTAGCGAATAGTTTAATACTTTTTTGAAATACCCTATAAGCTGGTCATAATATAATTTTTTATGTGTATATTGATAAATCTGACTTTCTTGCATATTATTATAATGCTTAGAAAGGAGATATGTTTCTTGTAAATTATCAGATTGGAACCTTTTAAATCCTTTAGACGATAATCTAACAAAAGGCTCACTAAAAGCCAAATCAACTTTATTCTACATATCATCCCGAAACCATTGTGTTGACATCATCTTAATATGAAACAATGTATTTGAATTTTCTATCATGAGTTTAAAGTAATGTTGACAAATAGTTCCATATGATACTAACAATAAGCATATATATAAATACGTTCCATCTTTGAAAAGAATAATATGCTGATATGAACTTGTTGTCATATACAGAACAATTCTCTACACTTTACAAATTAATTCTTTTGAAACTAAATTCATTAGTGTTTTTAAATATGCTTGTCAATGGTCATAATGGTCTTCAATATTTGTAATATCTTTATTATCTTGATTATCCACTAATAGTACCTCATTCTAAAATTATATAATATATACTAATTAATATATCTTTAACTAACACTAATGCTAAACTAACCCTAAATTAACTTTAATCTAATCTTAACTCTAACCACTAGTATACTTCATATAACCCTTTCTTAACCCTAAACTAACCTTAAACTAACCCTAACTCTAACCACTAGTATACTTCGTATAAACTTTTCTTATACTAAATTAACTCATCTAACCTTAAATTAATTTATACTCTCTTACACTATTAATTAACACTAATCCAAACTTTAGTCTATAATAATATTCACTTAATAGATACTAAGATAAAAATTCAAAATAGATAAAAGAAATCATAATTAATTTACTAATTGATCTTTAATAAATTCAAAGACTTCTTCATTAGATATCTTTTCATATTTATATAGTACAGATTTGCACATTTGTATATAGATCACTTCAATAATTCATAGTGAAAAATATTTTTTTATTAAATCATTTATTTTATTAAAAAAGTTTTCTATAATGAATAGTTGTTGATATATTGTTGACTTGTATTTTCAAGCCATAAAACTCTTATTCATAGCTTCTTGTTGCATTCGAGAATCTAATGCTTCTACTATATTAGCCATAGAAGAACTAGCAGAAACAGCTTTGTGGATAAGTGCATTTATTGACTCAACACGTTGTGTTGACTGCATTCCAACTGTAAATATTTAGCTTGTAAAAGCACATGCCCAAGAATAGCATGTTGTATAAATCAGATCATACAAATACTCATTAGCATTAGGATATATACAGTATCCAATAAAGTTTGAAAGCTTTGTTCAAAAATATTAACACATAATGTATTGCGTATTTTTCAAAAGTCATTAATAAATGCTTTGTAATCAGCAGAACCAAGTTTATTTTTAAGCCGTTTGGGTAAGTTTTAAGATAAGTGCCAAATACAATATACTGTATATAAGAAGTATTATTATATATATTTTGACAAGCAGCATCCATAGCTGGGTCTATATCTGTTAAAATAACTTGTGGTTCAAGACCAGTTGCATTTAATGTCTGTTGTAATATCCACTCATAACTTTCTTGTGTCTCATCATTTATAAAGGCTTGTGTCCCTAACTGTAATTTTTCATCATTATCAACAAGTATAAACAATGATAAAGGATAGTTATATTTATTAGTTCTTGAGGTGTTATTATGTAAAATAACATCTAAATAACGGGTTTACAATATAATTTGGTCCCCTATTATCCAAAATATACTACATAATCTATCACTATTCATATTAATAAGAGGTTGTATAAATATCATAGGCTCTTTTTTTTATTTCTTAAGAAGATACTTTAACATTGAGAAGCGTTTGAGCTGACAATATTTTTTTCGCATTTTATTTTTTATATAGCATTTAAGAGATCTTGGGTAAGAAAAAGTTGATCAAAAAATAATAGTTATAATAAGTTCCTTATGGTGTATACATCACAATGACCATAAATTACAGCACATTCAATTTCTAATATTATAGCTTGATCAAATTTTCAGAATGTTGTAGCAAACTTTGAATTATCAGCAATTAATTCATGATTATGAACAAGCTTTACAAAAGTCACATATATATCATCGTTACTTTTATATTTGCTTAAATTGACATGCTATTCACAATTATATTTCTTTAAACCTTTATTGCATTGTTGATTTGATGGTTTCACTTTATTAGGTTTATATATTCCAGTCTTTTCATATACAAATGTTCTTTTTTTTACTAATTGGTCAGCTGAGAATTGAACACGATATTTTTTAACTGCAAATTTCTTTTTTCTTTCATATTCCTTTATGTAATATTCAGCAGCTTTCCAAGAATCAAATTGTAAGCCAATATACAACTCAGTAATATCATCTAATTTTAAATAAAGACAGATTAAAGTTAATTGCTACATTAGATCGAACAAATCATTACTAATAATATAATTTAGAACTAAAAAAAGTTATATAATATTCTTACCTTTTTCAAAACTTAATGAATATACAGAACCTGACCCAAAATCTGATACTACACTAGATCTACTTTTCACTAGTTTCAAATCTGAATTTATACTACCATTACTTTTTACTAAACCTTTACTATTTTCTCTTACTTTCAAACCTAAACCACCTTTATCTTTTGCCAACCCTACATATAATTTATCATTAAACTATCAAGTTTGTAACTAATATCGAGTTAAATAAATACTAACCTAATTCAAGCCTTAAAACAGGCCCAAAATTATCCTCAATTACTTCTAGATCCATACTACCTTCCAATTCTACAAAAAAAATATAGTATTAGATCACTAAGTTTATGACTAACAACAGAATGAATATAATACTAACCTAATTCTAAACCAAAGTAGATTCAGTATTAACATCACTTATTTTCAAATCCATACAACTATTATCTTTTACTATCCCTGTAAGTTATATATTATATTAGATAACAAAGTTTATTAATAACAACAAAGTGAATCAAAACTTACCTAATTCTAAATCTAAAAGTTCACAAATATCTTCACTTACTTTCAAACTTGAATCCACACAATTATTACTTTTTACTAACTCAGCAATTTATTCTGTTAAATCAAGATTTAATAGCCAGTAACAGAATAAAAATAATGTTTATGTACCTAAATGCCAACTAAGAGCTGGCTCAACCTTATTTTCATACCCTTTGAAATTTACAATAAATTGTTTGTAAGCCTACGAAGCTTATACTAACACAAAGTTGAGTAAATGCTTACCCAAACCCAAACTAAAAGTGGTTCTAGCATTGTCTTCACACTCTTCAAAGTCTGCAATAAATTGGTTATTAAGTCCACAAACTTATACTAAAACAAAGTTGAATGTAATGCTAACCTTTGGTGCTCTCTTTTGCTTAATAAAACAAAGCCAATAAGTATATATGCATATGTATGTACTGTGCTTATTTAACACAAAGTTGAGTAAATGCTCACTCAAACCCAAACTAAAAGTGGTTCTAGTATTGGCTTTATACTTTTCAAAGTTTGCAATAAATTGATTATTAAGTCCACAAACTTATATTAATGCAAAGTTAAATATAACCAGATAAAAATTTCTAACTATACAAAATAACGAACTACTATTAAATACAAGAGTCTTGACTGCACTATAACTCATGCCAAAGTTTAAAAATTATATACAAAATCCTAGACAAATTAGTCTCTGCTTCTATATTTATTTATCTAGTATATCAAAGTAAAATCCAATAAGAAAAATTTCATTAATCAGCTTAATTGTAGAAAAGTCAGAGCAAAGTCTCAGATCATTGTTTGTACAGATATCTATTGCAATCAAGATACATGTATACATATATTTGTTATCACATTCTAATTTAAGAAATAAATAATGCTGACTTGTTTGATATATGTAATGTTGATCATTTAGAGAATGTAAACTGAAATATCTACTTTTTACAAAAATTTCTTTGAAAAAAGTAGTGGGCCAACAAAAGTATATAAGGTTCTTCTTGTAAGTTTTATAGTTGTATAGTCCAGCTTTTCTGTTTATACTAACTTAAAAGTGTATATTGGCTACTTCTACAGACTTGTTTTCAGAATAAACTTTCTGGTTTAAATGCTGAATACCTTGAGAAGTTTATTAAAGAAGAAAAACTTAATCCCAAAGAAAACCATCTATTCTTTTGATATTCACTTCTCTGTGTATTATGTTTAGATGCTTAGACTTTGTCAACAACAAGCTGCTTCTACTTATAAAACCAAGTTTAGTATTTCTTTGTTGCTTTTCTATATGTTTTGCTGTAGTTCAGTTTTTGTTGTTGTTGACTAAAGGATTGTTAAGAATCTATTATAAATTTAAAACTTATTATAAACTTAAAAACCTATTATAAACCTATGAATTTATTTATTTTTTTTTTTTAATGTTAAAGTAACTACTTGGGGTCTGGCACGTTTTATTAACTTTGGTTGCGAATGTCAGCGCAGCCACAGGACCACCCCTGCCTTTGTTACATTAACGA